TCACATGAGATATCCTTGGAAAGGTTATGACTTACTGAATGTGATTATCCAATTTGTATTCCTTTATCATTTCTGTATCTGAAGTTAGGAATATTGACTATGTATCTGTATTTCAACTATGCTACTTTGGGTGATGCCCACTGCTAACACTTCAGGTACAACAATGGAAAAGCCAGACAGGGCGCATGGCCCATCAGCGAGGACAATAGACTGTGAAAAGACTTGGGCCTTCCTGCCGATGCTCCATACTGCCACTGACTCATGGACGCTGTGACACTACTAGTTCAGGTGGTCTTGTCACTTGCTACCAAACGTTACCTGGAACGTCTTGTAACTTTCCACTGGAAGGAAAGGGCGGGGGGGGGCAAGTTTGGGAAACAAACGATTCCCACCTTATGTAAATCCTATATAAACGGGGAGGGGGAAGAAGGCAAAGGGGGCTCCTCCTCTTCATGGCCTGTCTGCCCAAGAAAGACTGCTAAAGCCAACTGAAGGGAAGGCAGGGGGTGAGTCCAGTCTGAGACAGGGGTCCAGTCTGAAAAGAAATATAACTGGAACTCTGAACCACAGAAATTTTGCAACCTGCCTAAAATAACATTTAAGATAAGAAATTACATTTTTTTAACCTGTTTCTTAAGTATATTGAGCCTAGCTTGCGTATTTTGCTTTATTTGGGCAGTAATATGCTTTGTTCTGTCTGTTCTCTTATATTCACTTTTGTAGTTAAAAAAATTTGTTTTGTTTATTATTAAACCCAGTTTTTGTAATTTTTAATGGGGGGGCAAGAAGTTGTGCATATCTCCTTCCACATTGAGGGAGGGGGAAAATTTCATAAAACCTTTGGGTTTGTACCCCTTAAAAGGAGTGGCATCAGAGTGTTGGGGCGAGCCCCTAAGGCTGAATCTTTCCAGAGCAGATCTCTGTCTCTCTCTGCACCTAGGCGTGGCCCTGCCTGTGTGTTTGGCTGGAAGAGGCTTGTGAGCCTAACCCAACAAGGCCAGGTAAAGGGTACCCAGGCTGGCAGAATAGGCTGACTCAGTTAAACCCCAGCACATCAGGTGACATCCCAAAGGGCCCAAACCTGTCACAGGAAGGTTTTACAGTTTATTTTAACTGAATATTTTTGAAAAAACACAGCACAATAATTACTACTGCATAGCTGCAGAAATATCCAAACCACAGCACTTCGAAAGCACCATTTACAGTACTTCAGTGAAGAGCCACAGTAACAGGTAACAAAGCCCAGGGAAGTAGAAAAAGGGGAGGAACATATGGCTCAGGCTGTCCCTATTATATTTTAAATATAAAACCTGAAAAGAGTCCGAGTGCCCTCAACTCTTATTGACTTCAGTGGAGGTGCTGTATGCATGCAGCTCCTATGGACTTCAATGGAAATTGACAGTCTCAGCTGAACACACTCAATTACTAATCTGACTAAAACAAAAAGTAAATAAATCTTTGAACAAACACTGAAGTGTGCATTTCAGCATTAATGAAAATGATATTGAATTTTCTTTCTTTTGTTTTATTCATACTATGCAAACATCAAGCCAATGCAAACAGCACTTTACATATAGACAAAGAGCTCTAAATGAAAACAGCATTTTGCAGTAAAACTCTTGTTTACTGAAGCAGCAATGAACACATCATGTGACCTTTCATTTTTAGGATAAGAGAATTGGATTGGCATGCCAGTTAGCCAGCATTTTAAATGACTTGGTTTTGAAAGGTAAACAAGTCTCACTTTTACTTGACTGGTGCCCAATAAATCAAGTGAGGATAAAGAACTATAAAGAATTTCTAGACAAGGAGCTTGCTCTAGAGCCCAGCTACTTCAGGCGTGCATAGTTCTGCACAGTGTTTTGTGAAGTCAGCTACACTTGCCAGCACACATTTGCAATCTGTTTTGTGTCCTAAAGTGCTACAGATTTTTCCTTTTCCTCCAAACTCAGGGTCTGCTTCTGCACTTCTTATTCCAAGAAAACTCTTGTTGACTTCAACAGGAATTTTTCCTGGGTAAGATGACAAGATCAGGGCCCCGGATTGTGATTTCCTTTAAGGGTAAATCTTATAGAATGTAATGTCAACTCTGACAGCAAAAATTGATGAATGTAAATAAAAGAGTGTAGCCTATAGATCAGGCATAAAATACAGATGTGAATAAACAGATCTTTATTTATGGTTAATTTTGTAAAGACTTTTGTGTTAGGGAGGAAGAAGAGAGAGAGAGAATCCGTGTTTCAGTCTTACTAGAGCAATCGGCTATTAAATTTTATGATTATTATTACGCAAGTTTGAAAAATGTAAATCAGTAATAGTTATGGAGTGATGTGCCACTTGGGATAAACACTAAGCACCAACTAAAGTTAACATTGTAACTCATGCCATGTGAAACTCACCATGCTTCATAATTTGTTATGAACTCCAAACTCATACTAAGTTCACAGATCTTTCCTGTGAACCTGGGCTGATTTAGGAATTTGCACCTTGGTTTTGTTGCAAAATCAACACTTTATGGTTGACTGAGTTTTGCTTTGAGATTCTAGGCCCATTCAAATGTGGAAAACGAATAAAATGGGGAGGATATGAAGCCACATGGATCTAAAATGTATATGATCCCCTGCAAATGAAATTTGCTGAGTTTTACATAGCTCTAGAATCCACCTGAACTTGTACTCCAAAACAAACTGAATTTCTTTGGTGGACTGAGACATCTAACAGATTTTAGCAACATTACGAATATTCAGTAATAAATCAATCCTATATTCAGGGTCAGGTCATAATTTGCACTTCTGTTGCAGTCATTGTCACACACGGAAATTGTCAATAATTCAAAGTTAAACTATATTTGTAACAAGTCATTATCTACTGATCTCACATTAGAACCATAGTTTACATTAACTAATTTCATGGAGTAGTTAAATCAGCTCCATGGTTATGCTGGAAACCATAATGCAGAGCACTGGATTTTGCAGTTGACACTATGTGGAACCAGCATTCAAAATTATAGTGGGGATGAGAATGTGTAGTGTGCCTGCTGTTCCTTTAATCCTTTCCTTACTGTCAGAGCCCCTTACAGATCCAAAGTTGAGTCCTCTTATTAAAAATCCCACCATCATTCAAATATCTTTCTTTAGACAGATCATGGCAAGTAGAGATGCTTGGACAACAGTCAAAGTAAGAATTTTACTACAGCTTTTCACATTCACTATGACTATGGCCTATGCATTCAGTGTCACCATATCAAAGGGGGCCATCTGTTATGGTAAATAAACAGGAAAAACCCTGTAAAATTGATTTTCCAACAGGGCACTCTGGCTTTAAAAATAAATAACTATGATCCAAACATGGCAAAGGGAGCTTTTCAGAAAGCAGGTGTCATTGATAGATTAATTTTAATCTATTTTTGCACCTTATTTAACGTATTCACATTTTCTGTTTAAAACCTATTGACAGCCCTTAGAGCTGTGTTGTGGAGGCTAATATTCACAGTCAAATTTTGTGTTCTCAATTGATACATGAATGTAATTAAAACTAAATATGCCCCAGGGCAGCATTTTGCCAAATAATAAGCCTGTCCCAGATCTGACAGACCTTGCAGGTCTAACCTTACCCACTTCCATCTCCCCAACTAATTTTTTAGTTTTAAAATTCTGTCGCAGACCACAGACCAGCCTTTTCATCTCTCACTCTATCACATTCCCTCTCTCACCCACCGATTCCCGCTCTCTTCCTCTCTCATGGCTCCCTGCCTTGCACTCAGTCCTGCAACATCCTAACTAGCCTTGTGACTAGGCAGTAGAAAGCTGGCTGCAAGCCTCATTAGCAAGCAAAGCAGGTTCCAGTGATAATCAACTATATACAAAATTAGTTGCTGGGGTGGGAGATGCAGTCAGCTCCTTCACAGGCAGCCACTGACCTATTCAGATAAAACATTCCCTCACACATCACTAGGTGTGAGGTAAAAACCTTTGAAGGGTTGGTTTTAGTCTTCTCTTCAGCTCCTAGAAATGTTTTTCTTTTAAATGTTAATGACACTTTTTCACAGAGAATTTTGGCTTGTGATTTATATGGTGACCACTAGGAAACTTCAGAGGAGGATGGGAGCACTCCAAGTTTTTGTGGTTAAAAAAAATTAAATAAAATTAAAAAAGGGAGTGAGGGAGAAAACATCATTTTCATTAGTATTCCTCTCACATTCAGATTTGATTAACAGAATATTGAGAAAAATCATTTCAGGCTTATTTGTGTTCAGATTCAAACTCTTCCATCTTTAGCTCTCAGACTGAGCAATTTTTCATAGGTCACTTGCATTATTTGCAATTATTATTTATAACATAGTTAGAGCTTGCAGTAGGTTCATTTCAATTGCACTCTTTTTAAAATCTTATTATAAATGTTGTTATAAGTCCTTTGATACAATGGACCAAATCCTGACTTTCCAACCCTGGAATAGAAAATGAAGTTTATAATCCTCAGCCTTGGAATTGCACATTAAGTGCAGCCAGAATTTAGCTCATTATATCAAAGGTCCTTTCTCTTAAGAAACAGTACATGATTACAGCTCACGTACCTTTATCTTACAAGAACAGGTAGCTTTTATTCCTTCCCTTCTTAAAGATACCCTGAGCTTTTTGCAAAGCCTCAAGATCTCCCTTCCCCACCAATTTTTTCTCTATGGTGATGAATTTCAAAAGCATGTTCATTCCTCAAAAGTCAAAGCACATTTTAAAAATGTCATTGCACAGGCATACAGCACAGCACATATACAGTGATGCTCTGTATTTTCCCCTTCTTGGAAGCAGAGAAGGAAAATAAATGTATTATTTCATGTTAATGCTGGCTAATAAATGCAGATTTAAAGAAAAATCAAAACACTTTTAATCCCCGCCCTCCCAAATATGTTTAAATTTGTAAAGTAACAAGAACATTATCACAGACAATGGTTTAGGATTTACACTAGTTCCCAGGGAATTTGTAAAGAGTTTTTCTCTTGTTACCTTGGTAACTGCTACCTTGGCACCCTTGTTGATAAGCTGCACCACATTATCCACTTGGCCTTTGTACGCAGCTATGAGAAGGCGTTCTGAAAGCACAGCGACCGCATCCTGCTGGCTCATGAATTAGGAGAGAAAGGTTTCCAGGGCAAGCAGTGGACAAGTCCCTTCAGTCCAAAACGAAAGCTTCAGATCAGTCCAAACATTGCATGCAGAGGCGAAAAAGGATCCCAGCTCGCTGGAAGGTTAATTTATTACTATGCCATCTTCTGGACCTAGTGATTAGAAAACAAAACTGCCATCAGCAACATTTTGCAAACTGAAACACTGCAGCCACTCATCACTGAACCTTTGAAATGTTCTTGAATTTTCTTCAGATCAGAGGAGGGCTATGGAAAAAACGATCGCGCATCCTACACGTGTAACTATTGCATTTCTACATGCAACATACAGGATTTGGCTACAACACACTTTTATTGTATCCTCCCACCTTCTCTCTTGTTTCCACTTCAACCACATTGGCATCAAGGATACAGATAGAATTATGGTCTCGTATAGGTGCCAGCTTCAGACCACGGTGATGATAGAAATAATCCAGAGACAATGCACTGTAGAGAATGCATCCTTTTGTAAAGTACTCCAGGGAGATTATTTGTGAGTCAGATCTTCCCCAGCATTCCCACTCATTCACAAAAGTACTCTCTCTACTGCCTCCTTTATTGACATGCTCACTTTGTTTCTCATAATTTAACCACAAAGTGTATTTAAATAAATTTGCCCCTGAAAATTTTTTCCATCTCCAAATTCATCTGGTGTTACACATATTGTAAATTTGCTTTTGCACAGAATTCCTTGCATTCATTTATCTGTCCACACTTGCAGCCATTGCTAACATAGAGTACAGCACTGTGCAGATCCTAAGGCAGACAAAGAGCACTGGCATAGGGTTACCATACGTCCGGATTTTCCCGGACATGTCCGGCTTTTTGGTCCTCAAATCCCCGTCTGGGGGGAAATTCCAAAAAGCCGGACATGTCTGGGAAAAAAGGGAGGGTCGTGGGGCTTGGATCAAGACTGGAGCCACCAGCGCCGGAGCCACTGGGGCCGGCGGTGCTTGGCCGCCGGCCGGCGCCGCTAGCCCGGGGCCAGTGCTAGGGCCGGTGCCCCAGGGCCCGATGTAAGCTGGAGTCGCCGGGGCCAGAGCCGCTCGGCTGGGGCTGGTGCCCGTGCCCCGGGGCCCGAGCTGAGTTGGAGCCGCCGGGGCGGGCCGGAGCCGCTTGGACAGGGCCAGCACGCTCAGCTGGAACCAGGGCCGGTGCCCCGGGGCCCAAGCCGAGCCGGACCAGAGCCGCCTGGTGCCCGTGCCCCGAGCCGAGCTGGAGCTGCCAGGGCCAGGGCGTGCGCGCTCGGCCGGAACCGGGGCTGGCACCCCAAGCCGGGCCGGAGCTGCCGGAGCCGCTCGGCCGGGGCCAGTGCCCGTGCCCTGGGGCCCGATCCGAGGTGGAGCTGCCGGGGCCGGCGCCCCAGGGCCCGAGCCAAGCCGGGCCGGAGCTGCCGGGGCCGGATGGCCGGACTGGGCCGCGCCTCCTCGTGCCCCCCCATGCCCCAGCCCCAGCTTCAGCTTACCTGCTGCCTGCCTGTTTCAGGCTTCCCGCGAACATTGGATTCGCGGGAAGCAAGGGAGGGGGAGGAAAAGGGGGGCAGAGTGTTCAGGGGAGGGGTGGAGTTGGGGCGGGGACTTTGGGAAAGGGGCGGAGTTGGGGTGGGGGCGGGGCCCCTTGGAGTGTCCTCTTTTTGTTATTTTAAAATATGGTAACCCTAACTGGCACAGCAGTTAGACAGCCAAAAATGAAGTATATTCAGGACCCCTAATTCAAATTCAAAACTCACAAAATCCATAGGGCTATTTAGAGCCAATACTAGGTGTAGTGTGGATTTCAAATCATTTTGTTTTTAGGTTACGAGGGAGGATGATGATGATCCAATTAACTGAAAAGCATGTCTCTTACAAAGAACCACATGCTATTCATCAGGAGCAAAGATAGAGTAGTAATAATGCAAGCTACTGAAATAGAAACCACCAGTCTCTAAGCATATGGCTAACTTTCTGTCAGGCACCTAACACATCTACATAAACATAATTTACACGCCTTATAACCAACAGTCTTAATACTCAAAACCAGATTCCACTGCATTTCCCTAATGCTGGGGAGAGTCCACAGCCAAATGGGTAACCTAGGGCCCTATTGCAAGACAAAATATGCCAGTTTTCATTAATATCAAACTAATATCTAGGGTCAAAGTCCTGTAAATTTTATTATTCATAAGCCAGAAACTGCTTCTTAGGTAGAACATCTTTTACAAAATTATTGTTTATAGAAGTCCAATTGGGGACGGGGATGGTGGTGCACATAGGTAAGACAGCTCCACACCTCAAGGAAATTATAGTCTATCTTGAACAGACACAATACAAACCAGGAAGGGATTGGGCATTTAGCTGGTCAGCCAAGATTGGGAAAAGGTGACAATTGGGAGGGGAAAAAAATAGTGGGGACAGCAAAGGGACCTAGATGGGGCATAGGAAGAAATTAAATGTGGCAAGGGGCTGTGTTCGGAAATTACTTAAAGCTGAAGACAAAGAACACTGGATGCGGAAAGGAAGAGGAAGACAGTGAAGTGATGAGAGGAGTGGGAATAAAGTTGGGGGCAGTAGAGGAAGATTACAGCGGCAGCATTTTTTGGATAGACTGGAGAGGTAAAAGGCAAAAAGGCCAGAAAGTGGGAGGTTATAGCAGTCAAGACAAGAGATAACTTAGGCGTGGTTTAGGGTTTTAGGTTGTTGAAATGAAGGAGGGATTGATTTTAGCAATATCAAGAAGTGAGATGGTGGAGGAGTATCCACAGTGAATCAATTGAAAGGCAGGTAGACATGCAAGATTAGACGGAGTTTGAGAGGTCAGAAGTGAAGTGGTACAGTAGATTTGCAAGATGTCATCATAAAGGTGGTAGCACAAACCGGGGGAGCAGCTGTTTTTAGCAAGGGCTGAGCATACAGAAAAGTGCAGTGGGGAAACCTACCTATCCCCATGGAGTCTGGGTAACTAAAGATGGAACTCTGAAAGTCACTTGGAGAAAGAGGAAGATGTTGAGCCACCAGAGAAGATACTAAAACAGGGGTGGGCAAACTTTTTGGCCCGAGGGCCACATCTGGATGGGGAAATTGCATACAGGGCTGGGGAGGGGGGTTGGGGTGTGGGATGGAGTGCGGGGTGTGGGAGGGGGCTCAGGACAGGGGGTTGGGGTGCAGCAGGGTGCTCAGGGCAGGGGGTTGGGGTGCGGGGTGCAGGAGGGGGTTGGGCTCGGGCCAGGCGCTGGATGCTTGGATGGCCCCGGGGCCAGCGGCAACGGCCAGTGCCGCTGACCACAGGGGCTGCCAGAGCAGCAGCCAGTTGGGGGCAGTCAGCCTCCACCGCTGGAGCAAGGGACAGCCGTTGGCCCCAATGGCCTCCCCGGGCAGCAGCACCCCGGGATCCCTGGCAGCAGCGCCCCAGGGACCAAGGAGTAGCTAAGGTTTAGTCAGGGGTATTTATAATAAAAGTCATGGACAGGTCATGGGCAGTAAATTTTTGTTTATTGCCTGTTACCTGTCTATGACTTTTACTAAAAATACCCATGACTAAATCTTAGCCTTACATAAGCCATATTAAAAAAAGCCATGAAACGCAATGGTTGTAATAAATAGGTTGGTCTATAAGATCTATCAAATTTATATCTTACCCCCAAATATTTGCTTTTCAAAGCTTAAATAAGATGAACCAGCCAGAGCTGTAGCTGTATTGTTAATAACATGTCATTGATGCTTCCATGTTCCTTCATTACTATTTCTCCTCATTCCCTGTCCTTCATGACCACCTATTTGCTTGCTTGTTAGAACATGTTAGATTCCCCCTCAGTTTTACAGTCACTTATTTGTTCGTATCCTTACTTCTAATCTGGCTGCTCATCTTAAAATATCTATGGCCAAACAGTTTATTTTTGCTCCTTTCATAAAAATCAGTGACATCAGTGAGATTTTGAGAGCTTTACAGTAAATCTCTGAGGAAGGCACAATGCGAACATTTTCCCGACAGGAGATTTACAAAGAAGATTTACAAAGAAATTCCATGTAGGCATTATGCAAGTTTTAACCACACAATTAGAAGCCATAGAAATGTTCACAAACACTCAAATGATTTGTGGCTCAGCAGACGCTTAGCACCATCATTTAATGCAAAGGATCTCATGTTAGTTACCCTACTAGCAAGTAAAACCCTAGAGACTGTACTCACTTTTGGTCTTAGGGTTTTTTTCCCCCAATCTTTCTCTCTTTTCTGATTACTGCAGTGAATTCTTTCTTGGAGACACCATTAGCCTTCTCAGCTTGTCATGCTCTGTGATTCTGAAGTGATTTACAGTTATAGCACTGCTGCTATAATGCATTTTCCTTCTTGCCTCTTCCACTGATTGAATCACATATAAAAGCATATTAAGGAATGGATCCAGCCATCAATTTTTATGTCTTTCTCATGTGCTATTTACGTCTCCTAAAGTCATCCTCTCATCTTCCTCCTTTTCAGAAATGTATTGACTTATGAGCTGCATTCCCATGTTGGGACCCTTTATATTTCCTTATCTGTGGATTACTCACAATTCAGAAAAGCATGTTTGATATAAATAAAGCTTGGATGATCAAGAGACTAACTTTTCCTCTCTCCTGAGGAGAGGCAAAAGAAGCAGATGGTGAGAAAGGGAAGGGGAACAACCCTCTTATTACTTACTCTGACAAATGATCCCTTCCCAGGGCAACAGATACGTGGAAACTCCACCTCAACAAAGCCCCCCAGCTGGGAGTTACTGCACTAGGGCAGGGAGACATCAGTACATGCCCCTCCCAGTAATATTTAACTCTCTGTCCACCTTGCACATCTAGTGTCTCCTCTTTAAAATGTTCACATATGCTGTAAATAGAAAGACAACAACTGCCTAAGTGCTACAGTAAAACCCATTATATGCTATGTTCTCACTCTTAAATTGTCCACAAAGAATTCTGCAATGTGGTTTGTGCTTCATACCAATTCCCTGGTGTCAGTGAGCAGGCTCCAAACAGTGCTTCCTCATTAAAGCACCAGAACCCAGGAGTCCTGACTTCCAGTAACATGCTCTTACCACTAGACTCAGGATCAATATCCACCCTCCCCTTTTGCTCTCCTTAGGCCTCTGGTGAATGCTGAAGCATGAGACAATTCAAACTTATTGCATCACAAACTAAAGAAAGTATATGAGAACTTATTTTGGTTTTACATATTTTACATTCAGATTCATCCTCGCTGCATCATTGTGCCTAATATCAGAATACTTATCTTGGGCAGGTCAGCAAAGCAATACCCACTTCTTGCATCCCTCGAAGAAAGCCTGCCAGATGTGATGACCACAGATCCAGTAATAACATGGCTCCACAGACCACTCAGTTCTGAGAACAGTCCTCCCCCCCGCCAACTCTCTCGTCACTGGAGCATCAAAGATGACAGTCCTACTAACATCATGAATTAGTATTTCAGACCCATAGCAATGACTCAGTGCTATGAATCTTGACAAGGTCTGATACTGATGTCCAGCAATGTCCACAGATTTTAGCAAATGCATGACTCAGCCAGTGAGGAATATGCCTAAGGACATTTTTGTATCTGGAAGTGAACAAAACAAGGTGTATGGTTGCTCGGTGACAAAGTCAGAAAGCTCTTTGGATTCAGTTTCTATCCTACATAGCCCAAAGAATTGACAAAAATGTAGGTTTTTGTATAGGCCCTCCTCTGTGATCATTACTAGACTAGTTGCTCAGTAACGTTACTACACAAAGACTCAAGTAGCAAAAGGCATAAGAATGATTATTTTAAGAAAATAGGCCAAATAAGTTTGGAAATTTGGGGAAACATTAAATCTCAGGGATGTTCAAAGACCTGAAGGGAGCTGGTGATGACATAATTCCATACAGACAGCTCACTACCGTGGCACTTCCAGGACATATTGTAAAGGTAAACCATTGCTTGATTAATGCTCTTCTAATGTCACCCTGGGGAAGAAGCATCTTTTAGTGTCAATACTATTCATAAGAAAATGACAAAAATCACAGGATTTCCTTGCTTTACATTCAGTAGATTATTGAAATGTTTCCAAAGGAATCAACGTATATAAACCCATCAACTATATAAACCCCACAAACACTAAATAAAACAACAAAATAGAAAGGATATAACACCTGACAACAGGTCATTAATAACAGCGGTCAAGTTAAGTAAGTGTCTAGATAAAAGAAAAATTGCATCGCTAACAAGAAATTTCCATCGTGCCCATCACCATGATATCAAGGCACATATACTATAAAGAATCACAATTTTTTTTCTACAATTGACAAACTCCATTCCTCACCTGCCCACCAAAAATGTTGCCAAGTTTTTCAAGAAAAACACCCATCACAACTTCTTACTGTACAGTATAATGAACAAAAAAGGGAGGATTTTAATGCTGCTTTACGTGGAAATCACTACATAACCCAAATTATGGACTCACTACTGACACTTCCACAATAAAGACCATGCATTTTGCAGAAATATTTTACACTATTAATATTTAATAACCATAATTAGCTCTTAAATGGCACTTTACATGCTCGTATTGCAATTCTCTTCTTTTAATCCAATCACTTGCAGTGCAGCATGTTTCCTTTCCTACTAATATGCACATCAGCACATTAAAATCTGTACAAAGTTCTCGCTACTCTTTCTCTCACTGTAAATCATTTGATCGTATTTTGAACAAAGGGTGCAACATAAATAATAGTTTTGCATTCCGCATATTTATCTGCTACAAAGAATCTGATTTTTCCCCAGCAGCTGACTCATGGGCTGTTCGTTCACTCCCCGGCTCCTGGATGCAGGTATAGCTTTTCAGAGGTGCCAACTTTCTAATTTCCCCAGGGGGTACTCCACCTCTGCTCCACCCCAACCGCCACACCACAACACCCTTTCCCCCAAGGCCCCACCTCTGCCCTGCCCCCTCCCACAAGTGTGCCCTGCCGTTGCTCTGCCCCCTCGCCCCCAGCATAGCTGATCCGTGGCAAGCAGGAGGAGCTGGGAGGGAGGGGAGGAGCTGATCAGCAGGGTCCACTGGCTGGCGGGAGGCACTGGGGAAAGGAGGAGGAGCTGATCGGTGCAGCCACTAGTAGGTGCTGATCACCCACTGTTTTTTTTCCAGTGGGTGCTCCAGTCCCAGAGCACTCACGGAGCCGGTGCCTATGTAGCTTTTATTTCTTTCTAACAACCGTTAAACTATTGATATTTTAAGGATTCTCCAGGATGTCACATCTTTTCTTCCTTTAGCTGCTCTTTTCAGATTCTCAAATGTCTCCAATACAAACTGATCACAAATGTGTTTTGCAAAAAGACAATACTCTTTCCAAAGGAGGACTTGGTCAACAAAAAGTACTATAATGGAAAAATCAAAGTGTAGCAGTGCTATCTAGAAAAAGGCAAAGTGATATGAATTATGGGGCAATATACACTTGGTTCATATTTTTCTTCACAAATATATATATTAATATAATTTATTTGCAGCACACTTTTTACATTGGTGAACATTTTTAAACTAAAAAAGAAGGTGACTAATAAAAATGATTACTCTGGAAAACTAGAGTATTGATCTTATGGCTATTTTCCTCTATTGTATAAAGTCCACATTTTGAAATGTTACTGTGTTGAACAGGATTCCTGTTCTTTATATATACACTGGATTTGGTATTCGTTTTCTTAAGAGTCTAGGACAATCTGGAACACCTTGAGATTATTTTTGTTTTTATTAATTCTTATTACTTACTCTGGTTGCCAGTCAGTCAGTCTTCCAAAGAGAATCTGCATGACAAGTGCTAACGACTCTTGTTAGGGAAAGTAAATTAGACTGATTTGTGGTACCCTTCTCTCACATCTGACAATTGCTTGCTTCTATATCAACAGTTAGCCATGCTAGTCACAAACACGAGGAACCAGCTAGGACAGCTTCTCCTGCTGCAAACTGAACTCTTAATCAAATAAGGTGCTGTTATCCTAGCACCACTGTCAGCTTGGGTCAATTTAAACTCATCTGACTGACAGTTCTCAAATCTCACCTTGTTACCACCCCCAAAAAAATTGTGAAGTGGTGTCAGCCAAGTCTAAACTTTTAAACAGAGGCGGAGACGCATTCAGATGGGATTATATGGGGATCAAGATTGCAATTTAAACTCATCACTGAAATGCCATTGATCATCTTGTACAAACAGCTGCTTCCTCCACCTCCCCACACCACCACACACACAATGTATTTTTTTTCTTACCAACCTGAAGCCCTGACTTACACTTACATAGATTTTTCCCAAGGGTAATGAAACATACTCCACACTGATTCAAGAGCATATTTGTTTATAAATGCTGTGACTGCTGTGCTGCACCTTCCATAATATTCAACATTATTATTATTTTATATGTAGCATTCGTCAGGTTATCTTCTTACTATAATTAAGTTTCAAAACCTTATTGTTCCCCCTCAGCTCCTTTAAAACACACACACCAGCACAAACACACCCACGCTCTTCAAAGACTGTCTATAAAAGCAAGCTTACCTCTCAGTGAGCATTTTCCAGCCAAACAATACTAATATAACAAAACAAAAATCTGTTGTTTAATGCAAAACAGTACATGTGTGTAAACACACGTGTGGGATGCTTGGGAGTTCATCTGCATATTAACAGCCAGAATGTCTTTCCAGCTCACTGCTATTTTACAGAAATGCTGGGGTCTGAGCCCTGGGAACTGACCCAGACATTTGGTCGTGCTTGAGTGAGAACAGAGTTCTTTGTGCTTTGCATGCATGCAGAAATTCAAGCACAGTGGGATTACTAGATGTTGAGAAATCTCCCTTACTGCCATCATCTTCTGCATTAGATTCAGCTATTGCAAAATTAGGACCTTATCCAACTGCCACTGAAGTCAACGGCAAAACTCCCACAGAATTTAATGGGAGCATGATTGGGCCTACATTTTAAAATCCTTTCCAAAATTCATTTCTCTTCCTCTTGCGCCTGCTGTTTTGCCCCTGCTTTGTTATTCACAGATTCATCTCCATGGCAAATTCTCTCATTTGAGTTCTTTGCTTTGCTTTCATTCAGATGACAAAAATGGTTCTAAATGAATGAGTTTTATTTCTGGATAAAGTCTAGTTTGGGGAGTGGATAGTGTGTTGGATTAAGGCAATGCTGATATCAACCTTTCACCTTCAGGAGTCTGTGTTCCACTGTCAAAGTGAAAATGAGCATGTGGTCTTATTCTCTTCCCACTCACTAGTGGACAATTACCCCCATTGAAAAGCTACCGTATATGCATCCGAAGAAGTGGGCTGTAGTCCACGAAAGCTTATGCTCTAATAAATTTGTTAGTCTCTAAGGTGCCACAAGTCCTCCTGTTCTTCTTTGTACAAGTTGATGCAACTCTCCACCTTCTGCAGCCTGCACTTAAGAGAGGCCCAGGACAGAAACAGAGGAATGCTGCAGGTCAGGACTGAGGAGCACTGAAAGATATGTGGGGAAGCTTGCAAAGCAGTGGTCTGCGCCAGCACTATCAATCTTTCACTTTCAAAAGGCCTATGTTTAGTCAACGGTAAAGAAAAAAATAGTAAATTTTGTGAAAAGTTTAAAAAGTAATGCTATACTGGAAAA